TCTTCGATTGCCTAGCAAAGGAGCAGATTGCGGCTAGTTTATGCACGTGTTTCAAGTCAAAGCAAGCAGTTAGCCAACCACTCAGATTGCCATAAGCTAGAGATTATCTTACGACCGATGTGCAGGAAGTGAACTTTGCATTCCTGGATAAAGGGGGCGACTGTGCTATTACTAACTGAATAGTGCGAACAAGCGCGAAGTCGGACGTGGAGAGTGGTGTTGTAGGCGGGTAGCACAGCATTTGACCCCAAAAGAGAGATATTCCTGTCATAATTCAATCCCGAATTCCAACGTCTATTCACAGCTCTGCCATGGAAGCTCAAAGTAACCAGCTTCTAACATTGTATATACTTGGGTGCTATTATTTCAACAACCGGTCAAGTGTATCAGACGGTGACAACTGCAACTCAGTTACGAACTGAGACGCAGTATCTGCAATGAAGAATCAGCGAAGTACTCGTCACGTACAATCTCACTGCTCCGCGCTGTTTGCATTTTAGTCGAATTTGCGACTGATTCTGTGACGTAGTTTGTTTGTGGGTTGACACACTGACAGTAGCCTATTTGGAGCACTAACGCGAAGTAAGTTGAAAGCACATTTATGTTACCTGTTGCAGTCAAGGAGCCACACAGTGCACTGGGATCAGTGGTATGACCCTTCTGTTCCCTGAAAGAAAAAACACTACAAAACCTAGCTAGCTGCGTACTCCCTCTGTCAGACATCTGATGAGATAATCTGAAGCAATCCGCATTCTATTTCAAGCTGGAAATGAAAGTTCGCACAGGATTTAGGCGTGTTGACCTTTAGGTACACGCATAGATCATGGTATCATAACTGGTTGCGTCATCATTATCTGCAGTTTGCCTCAAAGGTTGTGACAAACGGGTAGCTCGTAGTCGCACCCTTCGGAAACCTGAAGCAAACGATGTAAGAGAGATCAAAAGTTGCTAGCCAGGAGGAAAACTATCAGTACGAAATACGCAAACATTTGTTTTCATCGTCAGATTTATTGACTGTGCCGCACCTAGCTAGCGAATACGACCTTTACACTACTCACAAACATCCACATGTAATCTACCATCCTCCTTTGGACATCAGAAGGACAGATACTTGGGTGCATTGGGAAGTGACTAGTGAGTGAGCCAATCTGCAACACCAGGACAGATACTCTGAGCTCATTGGCAATATGTCGCGCACCAAACAGAAGTCATGTATTAAATTGCGCACCTAATGGTCAGCCCTCGGTAGCTCAGTGGTAGAGCAAAGGACCGGCAATTCGTGGGACCAGGGTTCGATTCCCCGTTGAGGCAGATTATTGTGTGAAGTTTAATCGTGACTTCTACTTTCTACGAACCTTACGCTACTCACAAACATCCACATGCAAATACATTTAAGCAAAAGTAATGCATCTGCAAGGTTTGGTTGTTTGGACTTTCTCTGACGTCGTGCACAGGGGGAAGGCTGCACCAGTTTCTTGGTGAGCGGATATAAGTGAGCTTCCGCTGCATATTCAACCTGTCAGTCTTACCGGAATGTTCGCCATCTCGTTCAGGTGGGAGTATCACTACGCAACCTAGTCAAGTTCGATGGCTCACATATATTTTTTGCACGTAGCTCACTTAATCTAAAGCGATAGGTGATGTAGTTTCTTAATCTTGACCTAAATTTCAATCAACATAGAGCCCTTTATGAACTTACGCTTAAGATTCGGGCAAACACACCAAGCACTTACACCGCTAAAAGTGAAAAATATGCACCGGCCCGATTTTAACATGTTTTACCCAAGTGCCGTTTCTTTAACCGTATCAGTAGATGTCACTTTTCAGCAGGGTAGTTAGATACAACCACAAGTAAATATCGCGCAGCTTTGTTTTCAATGCTGTTCGTGACCAGTGCAAGCTTTGACTCATGAAAATAACCACCATGTACTGAATTCTAGGGAATGATTTTTGTTTGGTGGCAAACACAACGAAACAGAAAGAGATGCACGTGGGAGTTAAGGAATGATTAATCAGCTGAGAAAATTTGGAATAACTAGTTTCAAGGATAGTGCCACAGATGACATTTTGATGGTTTTTGTTATTATCTCTACCTGGACTTTGGCTTTGATGCTAGGAATATCGTGTCGAGTTAACAGCAACTGGTACGGTACAAACAGCGCACCCAATGCAAACGAGCGACCAAGCAGTCGCTGCAACAGTAGCAGTAGTAGTATAGCGGTTCTAACAATAGTTCATACTCAGGGTGTACTACAGGACCAATACTTGTAGACAAGCGTCGACTGCAGCAAAGAACGCCGCTTGGTATATCGCCTATCAGGTATTATCCTCATCCAGTTGAAAGCGTACCCGAACCCATCTATATGTACTTCAGTCTCAATTTCCTGGGTCCCAACAACGCTCAAAGAATCTATTGAGGTCCAACTTACCGAGATGGCTCGTTCGACCGAAAGTAGTCTGTGAACTGGTAAGATTGCCCACGAAGTCCAATTTCAGTTGGAAGCTGTGATGATTACACGGTTTATAGGCAACCAGAGTATATACCATTGTTGTCAGACAAGGAACGCAACATAAATATGCGATAGCGGATGATATTAGCTTTCTTCCATAATCTTACCGTAATTTGCATGTGGTTCAAACAGGCAAACATTATAATGTTTGTACATATCCAGATGCCACGGTTTGGTACGCTAAAATGTACATCAGCCGCTGGTCAAATTCATGCTCCTGGCTTTCACCGCATGCTTCATTCTATCGGCACCATGTTACCTGATGATGTCACCTAGAACTACCTAAACGATAGATCTCCCTGTGTCTACATGAATTCGAGCGCATGTAACACTTATATCGGTTATCATTCGGTATACAACCTTAACGGGGCCACTAATGTTCACAGTACTTCTTCCTTCACCGTTCACGTTTACCGTTTAATCGGCCACCATGATTTGTGTTGTAATGTTTTACTGTGTATGAGGTCCAGATCGAGTTCACAAAGTCACCCGTAGCTTTGAACTTACGGAGATCCTCGTTAAGCTGTTTGGCGACCTTTAAAGATGGATATTCTGTCTCAAACAGTATGTATGATAAGGTTTTGTCCCGGTTAACTGCATTGTGCAGTGCAACAACCTTTGTCATGCTTCTTGGACGGTGGCTGAAACTAGTCCGTCATATGAGTATTGGTGACCGATGGGCAACTTATAAAATCGATCCTAAATCGCCACCGCAGCTCCGTACAAGTTACGGCGCTTATGGTGCAAGAACCGAGACGAAGAACTGCTGAATAGTCAATGAGGTAAAACATCGCAGGAGATGGTTATTGGACGGATTATGGTACCTAATCTCAGTTTGGATTACAATGCTGTGTGGATTAAACCGCGGTCAGCCCGATCAGTGAGACTACAGCTAGCATGAATTTGAGTTCGACGTAACGCATTCAAACCGTCTTGTGCTCCAGAACCGACCTGTCCTAGTCTTCAAACTTGTGTATACGGATAGAACCAGCAGTACATAGAGGCTTGATATAGAGGCTCCGTGACAGGTACTTTTCTGCGTCAACATACAAACGAGAGCCCCTTTATTACAACGCAGCAATATGACGGTGAGAGGCACCACAGTAACTCCACACTCACACAATAGGTGATTCAAAGTGATCCTCCAATCAGCCACTAACCGTTGTAGCAAGAGTTGCTCGTTATGACCCAGTGGCTAAAGGGGTAGAGGCCTCAAGTAACAACCTAATGGTCCCAAGCTCGAGGCCTGGTTTCTCTACCTGATTAGAGCAATTATGTTCGAAACCCATCGCGGCTTGCTACATTTTTGGTCAGGAAGCACCCCATATTCATCTACTACATCAGTTACCGTCCCAGTGATCGACTTGGCCAAGGTTCACGTGAATGTGAATCGCGATCCACATTGATATTTAGTGCTGCAATGCCTTCAAACAACGAGCGCTTCAAAATGACCTACCAAACCAAACCTTTGTTTCGAGTTGCAGTGCATGAGCAAGCAAAAAGCCGAGTTTGGGGCGCAGTACTTGGAGTGCGCAGCATCCACCGGCTATCATAGTGAACCATTCGCCTGTAATCTCGTTACGTGACTACATAGTCGGAGTGATTCGGAATGCGGGCTTTTAAGGGATGTCAGCAGGGATGATCAGTACAAGTGAATATGGGTGTCAATTATGGATGTGGCCACTTTGACTGAACAAGAAAGTATGAATTTTGAAGTGTCTCGGGGACACATTTTGTGTTCATTTGAGTGCGCTACGGGTTCGCTCGTTTCTGGAGTGGCACAACATTCGGAGGAACCAGAATGGATTTATTCTGCTTTCCAAAAGCAACAACAATTAAGTTTATTCACGAAACTTCGAGGCTTACCAAGGCAGGAACTATTCTTGCAACTATACCATCCATATTTATGAGTAGTGAACGACCCATCTGATGTCATCAGCGGACGCAGCTACACGCTTGCCGTACGCATTTTCTTACTCCTTTATCTGAACCTTTTATTGGGGGAGGACACAGCAACCAAAGGGAAGCTTCCTTTTACCTGCCGTCTGACGTATGCAATAGGATTGAATTTTTCTGAGATAGTTAGTGAAGCTGAAACACTGGTTTTGAGTGCTTCATCAACATTTTTGATTCGCTTCATTCCAAATTCACTTGTTCCGCCTGGTTGCATATCGCGCGCGGATCTTACGCGTATGGTCAGGTAGTCACGACGAAATAGCTCGGTCCATTGTGAACCATATGGGAATCTCGAATGTGACCAAATGTTACGGGATCTTCTTCTGCATTAGTTGTAACTCCAGTGACATAAATACAACGAAATAACTGGAGGATACATCCTCGTGAAACGAACGCCTTTGAAACCATATTTAATACACTCATACGAATGGTTTCTTGGGAACAACGAACTCTATGGGAGCTCACCTATGATAGTACCCCTGTACTCTCGCAGAAATACACTGACTTGGTGTGTGGTGTCCTTAAGAGACTTACTCAAGTGATCTCCTCCGGACAACCTGTCCAGCTTATCCTGCGGGCACATTTTGGTCTTGGGATCCAAAGCGGCTTCGTGCTCCGCAAGCCGTGTCAAATCCTTCGCTCTCACATATATTTGCTGTAGGTCTAAAGGAGCATTTCCCGTAACACATTTCGAGTTTCTTAGAGCAAGATGGTTGTTCTGTTGTTCATTCTTGTGTACCGCACTCGCGTTGCGACTAGAACCGGAGTCAGATAAATCTCTAGGAAGTTCTGCTGCTCGAGTCACTGACGACAGGCTGAACGATTGGTAAGGAGGTTTGAACATCCAAGTAGGCGGCAAGGAGTGCGGAATTCCAGCGCCAAGCGAGACAGTGCCGTTAACATGCACACGGGATTTGTCGTCAGCACGAAAATATAACCAGAACTCATTGTCTGTCATCGCGGCGATCGCCGCTTGGAAAGAACAACCAGGATGGCTGAAAAAATGTGTGGCTGGTGCACTTGCGTCAATGCTGTTTGTTCTAGCTGGTATAGTGGTACAGCGAGGCAAGGAATCGCTCTGCACGCAGTCAGGAAGGTGGTAATCCGCAGGTCTGCTTTGATTAACTGAAGGTTTGCGCAAGCTCAGGTCGAGCACCTGTTCTGGGCTGCTCTCTCGCTGGCTCTGTAGATCATTCCGAAGACAAGTCCCAACTGACAGAAACCGGAGCTGCTCTGATGTGGTCAAGTGGTTCATTTACAACAGTTTGTGGGATGTTTCTGTCTGCCGCTTTCTACAGAGATGAAGAGAAATTTACCAAAGCGATGGAGCCGTAGTGGACACGGATACGCAAATTACTCCTTTGAGGGTATGCGATGCTGAAATGCGGATGGGAGAAATTTTGAGAAAAGCAATTGTTTAAGTATGCCAGTGATTAAAGAACTTTAAGCATAAACTACAAGACCATAGGTGGGTTGGTAAAGGGACACCATTGAAGAAAGTACTGATGTTACCACAAGAATTGAACGCCATATTTTCTTACTCAGTCGCAGCGTCTAGTGTGATGGAATTCAGTTATTATTGGTTGACCCGTTACACTTTATTAATCATGTTTTAGCTTGCTCGTCGTTTATTCTCACTTGACATGTCTACTCCTGTTTCACACACAGTGATTGTTGATAATCTGCCGACCATCAGATGAAGTCACGCAGAATACTGTTCGCTATTGGTAGAGACGGGTGCAGTGCTTGTGGGGTAGGTATACCCAGTGGATGGCATAAAAAAGCAAAATAGGCATTGTAGCGCGTCGGTGTGGCGCTATTGCAAGTCAACAGATAAGATGTCGTCGAGCGCAGCCTAGATTGCGATTGTGGTTGCCTCTTCGCTTTAGCTGCCTATTTCCTCTTCGGTACCGTAGAGCAGCCATATCTCGTGCGTATTTTCACGCCGTCTACCCAGTCACGCCTGGTACCCCACCAACAGCTGTGACAATGCCGTCTAGCTCGCCCTAAGGTGTAACAGAGGCACACCTTCCATCCAGCCCGCACTGGACGGTGTGACAGAACTGTTTTGTGGGTGTACTAGGGATGTCAGAATTTCGGATAACCAATACATTGGTAGATTGTGTCACTTTCTAGCAGTGCATCGTAACACACAATGAGTTTCGGTGTACCCTAACGAACTTTAGAAATACAACGCTGTCTAGATACATGACGCAAAACAAATCCCCTCAAATTCATGCAACTGCAGGCTACCTAATCCTCACTCAGGTGTACGCGAACTTACCAGCCTCCAAAACACTGATCGTTCCTCCATGTGAACACTTACGGTTGTATACTACCTGCAATACCTCTGTGAAGCAACGGCGGCTATATTTTACCACTTGTGTGAGATATACAACAACAAGATCTGCATCAAAAAAGCCGGAACGTTTAGGTTTCGTAGTGACAACAAGGAAGATGTGGAAAATCCATTCCGTTGAAGTACATTAACAATCACAAGTATTTGTTTCCATTAACGCTTTGGAAAATCTCACTTAGTTTATTTTAGATGAAAGCAAACGAAAACCTACCGGTTAAAAATTTTTGGCACCTTATCTCCGATATCAATTTAGTAGTTTAAAGCATGCGACTTGCAGAGAAGCTTTGTCGTTAAGCAGAAGCCCAACTTTTATCTTTTGCTGGTTGTTAACCAACTCACTGCACACTTCGACTTCTATTCCAATGAACATTAGGTTACTTCAATCTTAGATCATGGTATGCTCTACCTTACACTTAACCGGTTAAAGCGTCAGTCGGCATCCAAATTGGTCCTAATCTTAGCTCCAGTGACCTCAAACCAAAGGGTACAAAGTCGGGCAAGTTGTTTTAGAGCGCGGTGTCTAGCTTGAGCGGTAGCAATAGATACATGTCTTTTTCAAATACCCACCAAAAGAGTTAAGCCTTCAACATATAGGACAGAGAAATTGTCCTTCGAACCCCGATTCTATATTGCAGTCCAATAATACGGTTCAGAATGTGCGTGAAAGGTTATCGCAGACTGCTCTGGAAGAGACTGCTCAATCCTGAGCCAACTCATTCACACTCGTTTCCCAGTAACAGTCAGTTCGGTACATCTAGCTACTCGGATTGCTTTGTTTTTGCGATTAAAGATGACACGTACGTTCCAAGTACTGAATTCCAATCATCGCTGTGTTCAGACACAGGTCTGCGAACTGTAGCTAAGAAGCGCACCAGCCCCATTGACTCGTTTGTTTCTATGTGAAACACAGCTGTCGTGCTGCGATGCACTTGCTACTGAATACTGAATACTGAGAACAGAGTGCGAGAAGATATAAACCTGTATTTATCCATCGTAGGTGGATCGGGCACATGCGCAGAATCACGTCGCTGATTCCTGCGCGGTAGCAGCATATTGCAGCTGCACTACATATTATCTCGGTGCGATAAGCTCCCTATACCTGTAGTCCACAAAGTGGATGTCAAGAAATCTCCTAACTTCCGACATCCAATTCGCCTCTACTAGCGTCTCCGGCAATTTGTTCCAATATTTCACCACTCGACGCTCAAAGCATAGAGGGTGAGCGATGTGCTTTAAATCCGGTACCATTAGTTTGTACAGGTGTCCGCGTGTGCTGCTTGGTGCGCAAACGTGCAGCAGGGGCCTCAACATAGGGAAGTGGCCCAAGCGCAGCATGCGGTGCATAATAAGGGGATCAAGTCGAAGCCGACGATATGACAGGGCATAAAGCCCTAGTCTCCTACATCGATACTCGTATGATATATTCCGTAAAATGTGGATGAGTCGACTGACTGCATTCTGAACCCCCTCAAGTCTCTGCACCTCACCTATTATGATCGGACAATAGGCGACGAAACCGTACTCAAGCACCGGTCTTATTATAGAAAAGAACAGCTGGGTAGCCATCTCTTCAGACCAAGTATAGAAGCTGCGTCTAAGTGCGCAAAGCAGGCGTGGTCCGTTTGCGTACAGTCTGTTCGTGTTGTCGACAGACTTCAGCTCACAGCGTGCGACTACGCCTAGACTCTTTACGCAACTGGTGGAATGCAGCGGGTGGTCAGCTAGGGGGTACACACGCCCATTATTACCCCATCCCAAGCCCATAAACCAGGACTTGGCGGTAGGTCAACTTTTGTGGAACACCGGCATAGGCGGTCGAGGTCCTGCTGAAGGACGTCACAGTCGCCGGGAGAATCAATAATCCTCCAAATCTCCAGATCATATTCAAATAATACACAGGGTGACCAAAGAAGCTGAGGTATTCGTTGATGTGCATCAGGAATAAAATGGGACACAGCACTTTGGTTTGGGGTACGTAGCTAGTGAACTGGTACCATTCCATTAGGTGGTCATCCAACTGAACCCGCCAGCTTCTCCCAATAAGCAAGTCACTGATTCCCTAGTGCATTGCGTCATCAACACCATACACCTTCAGTCTGTGGAGCAGGACCTCGTGGTTCACTTTATCGAAAGCTTTACTTAACTCAACGTAAATAAAATCTACTGACTTCCTCGAATTCAACGCTTGCAACCATTCCTGCCACGTCAACATCAGGTTGGTTATGCACCAGTGTCCCTTCATGAAGCCGTGCTATACCGGCGTTAGGATATCTTTCGACTCCAGCAGCTAGAGAAGACACCTTTTCACTATCTTCTCGAGCACCTTCGCCCAAACAGAGGTGAGACAAATCGGCCGGTAATTGTCCACATTGCGTTGGTCTCCAGCTCTTGGAATCGGCTTCACTACCGAGCATTTTCAGTCGCTCGGCAAGGCACCCTCGGACAGCGATCTGTTGAACAGATCAGTCACGGCAGGCGAGATGATGGCCGATAAGGACTTTAAAATTAGCAGGTGAAGTCCATCGGGTGCAGCAGATTTTGTGGCATCAAGACTGGCGAGCAGATTGCGGACATCTTCTACACCGCAATCAAGGCCCTCGAGTTCAGTAGGGGCTGCACACGTCGAGCTCGGCATGGGCGCATGCCCAATTGTAAATAAGAAAGCGAAGTGCTCTGCCAATGCAAACGTCCGTTCAGTGCTGGAGGTCAGCGGCTGTCCGTCTGTGCCCTCTAACACAGCTACATCACGTGCGGGCCTCAGGCGCCGCTTCTCGTAGGCAAAACCTTCTTGGGACCCGCCTACGCTGAGCTTGCAAGCTCCTCTTCGAACTGCCGACGTGTTCGGGCTTTTGCGCTGTTGCATAGATTCCGCTGTCTTTTGTACACCTCATAATTGTTGGCAGAGCCGGAGACGAGGAATTCATTCCAGAATACGCACAGCCTTCGTACCAATTGACCATACTTTCTTTCGAACCAATGTGGCTTCATTGGTTTAGCTTTCCGATACTTAAGGAGTAGGAAAAGAGTGCACAGCGGTTGCACACCCTCTTTTATAACAGACCAACTGGCTTGACCAGATGCATCCTACGGCAGTGCCCAGTCAATTTCACTGGCGACTCCATTTAGACCATCGAAGTCGGCCTTCGGACGGCTCCGGCGGACGCGAGTAGGTCAACCGCAGCTCTAGGTTGGCTAACAACATCGAGTGGTCACTAGTTTTCAGAGGCTCTAGGACCTGAATTTCATGTGGAGGTTGCTCGCAATTTGCTAGTAGTAAGTCCAGACATGATGGAGCGGAATGTGCTGTAAGGAGCGTTGGTTGGCAGACATGTTGTGCTGCCACAGTTTCACATACCATCTCCTTAAACTACGCTTCGATTTCATAGTACCCGATGAGAAGTTGAACATTAAGCCACCGTATTCGTGGGAAGTTAAAATCACCCATAAGAAGGAAACGGGGCCGACTGATGCAGTTTCTGACATGCGACAACCAATCCAGGCATCGACTTCGCAGGCTGCGATAAGCAGCAGCCACAAACAGTTCATTGTCACAAGCACATCGAGCACCATAACTGTTCGCACAGGCCATCTTTGCTACGGTAGGTATGTACCAGTCTCCTGCACAGCGAGGACCGAATGTACAACAGCACACCGCCTCGATCGTTTGATAATACTGGAAACACGAGTAGTCGGTGATCTGCACTTCTTGGGTAGTGACCCCAGGATGTAACCAGGTTTCGGCTACTCCTAGTACGGCCGGACGACGAGAGACAACGAAATGAAACACATTGTCACGTTTGTTCATTAAATTACAAATATTTGTGAAGGCTATGCGCAGGCCGCGGTAGGAACCGACGGACACACATAAAGCGTCATCGATCTGCTAAGCTGGGTTCGGCGCACCCGGGGAACTACCCGAAAGTTACAATGTGGAGATTGGTTTCCTCACTATAAGTCCACCTCTTCAACGCTATGATAGCGGACTTCAGTTTCTATTTGTCCGACGTATCCAACTCAG